GATGAGCTGGATGCGCGGGGAGTGGATGCGCCAGCCGCGGTAGGTCATCATCTCGAGGTCGGAGGCGGGCACGCTGGGCTCGGCGCGGAGGAAGTCCTCGAGCCAGGTTGTTGAGGTTGGGTCGATGGAGGAGACGATTGAGGCGGCGTCGGAGTCGGAGTCGGCCATTTCGACGTCCTCGGCGGGGGATGGGAGCTCGTCATCTGGGATAGGGGGAGGGGGCAGTTCCTGGCGCCAGGGGGTGTGGATGCGTGGTGTTTGTGCTTGAGGGGCCTCGGTCTGCTCTGTGGTGGTTGATATGCGTCCGAAGAGGGGCACGGTGTGGGTTGTTTGGTAGGATGTGTCGGTGACGATGATGGACGGGTGCGTCACCGGCTGGGACGTCTGGGGGTTATCTGTTCTGGTGCTGATGGTGAAGCCCGGGATAAGTGGCCTCGCTGGTGATAATGGCACGAAGCGTCCGCCGACGAGCTGGATGTTACCCATATCACCGGTATTCGTCTGCGTGCCACTGCTCGGAGGTTGCCCCTGGGACATGGTCAGCATCATCACAAACACCACCAAAGTGTTGCACATACCGGAAAGGGCAGAGTCTCCGTCACGGTCGAAGAGTCCCCCCTCCTCAGCTCCGTAAACGTCGTGACACCAGCCTGCCCCGCTATCGCTTCCGGCTCCTCGTCCCCATCCATCTTCTCATCCTCATCCTGCACCGGCATCTTCGGATGCTCGTACTTCTTCGACCGCCGGATGAACTGGTTGCTCGTATACAACGGATCAAACGTCTCCGGGAACCTCTCCCCGCCCGGCGGCGCTCTCGGCACCCACTCAGTCGTGAACGGGTTCCGCGGCGCCTCCCCGCCTTCGCCAGGCGCCTTCGGCACGCCCACATGCGCAACTCTCTCCTCCTCCGCCGCGCGCACCCACGTCTCCGGGCCGTACTCGCCCCCAGGCCCGTCAATACACGCGCCGACCTCCACACCCCTCGCGACCCGTACCTCGCCCCTCCCGAAGGCAGGCCCTTCCGTACTATTCCCGCGAATCTCCTGTTCAGAAAACACAGCATCCTCGAGCCCGAGCACCCGCCGCCAGCGCTCCACGTCGCCGCCCTCCCTAATCTTGCGCAGCAACAGCGCCCTCCTCGCCGCGGCCGGATCTTGCTGCTGCGCCTGCACCTCGGCCGCGGCGCTGCGGGCCGTGAACTCGCCGTACTCCTCCCAGCGCGCCTGGCCGAGATCCGCGTCGCGCAGCCAGGGGTGCCGCGGGCCGTAGAAGTCGGCCGCGAGGCGGCGGAAGGCGGCGTCGGAGCGGAGGACGTGGTCGACGGCGCGCGTGGCGATGAGGTCCTCGACGTGCGCGAAGAGATGGTGCGGAGGGTGGTGGTCGAGCAGGGTGCGCGTGCGCTCCCACGTCTCGGAAGGGAAGCGGTGGTAGATTTTGCGGATGAGCTCGGTCAGCTCGGCTGTTGTTTGCCAGTCAGAACTCCAGTTCCCAGTTTGGAGACAGGCGTCGCGAAGACTTACGCATCCTTTCTTGAGCCATGACGGCGGTGTGCTGTGGCGCTCGTTGCGGCACTTTGCCAACCCTTCAAGAGCAAAGCTGTCAAGCGACAGGTCCGATGTGACGGGCCGGGAGGAAAGGGGGAAGCTCAGGCCGCGGTGGAAAGGTGATATCAATAAGAGGACCAAGTGGCTCAGGACCAGAATCATCTCTCTCTGGGGATGGAACACACAGAGCGTACGGGAAAGCAACTCAACGCCTTTCTTTCACAAAAGAGAACTGAGAAGAGTGAAAGACAGAGATGAAGAAGAAACTATCACAATCGTCTTTTCGAGATGCGAGACATGGCCGTTTTGAAAAGACCTTCATGGCGGCCGAAAGAAGACCAAGGCATATAACCATCCCAAAGGAGCGCAAAAGAATAAGACTGAAATTTTCATTGAGACATTCATACTGAGGTGCCACAAAAGTCCGAAGAAAGAGTCACCACGGGCATTTACCGCATGAGTTGTGACAAAGGGTCCAATGGGAGAGAATGAGAAAAGGGATAAACGGCCAATGCGGACAATGTGTTTGCCAGGGCAAGCTGATTGCCGCTTTCGGGATGATTTTTGAGCTTTGAGCTCTGAGCTTCTAAATTCGGTGCGTCTCTTTGTCCATGCCACTTACATTGAGCGCAACGGTTGAGCTTTATTGTCGCGGGTGGTGAGTGGTGTTTCGGGGCTGGATTCTGCGATGGATGGCGCGCAGCTTTGAGCTTGAGCTCTTGCGGTTTGATCTGCATTATTTTTGCGATGCAAGACATGAAGGTTTTTTAGACCTCTTAAGGCGGATACACTTACCGATCAGAAAGATCTTTGGAAGAAAGACTGCGGGCTTGCTGCATCTTTGCCAACTAGGCTTCAGAGACGTTGGCATTAGAGCCACAGCAGCAGAATTATGTCTGTCAACGACTCAGAGAGCGAGCGCGATACTCATGTCGAGGACCCCGATGAGTCTTCCGGCTTGCTTCAACGGGCAAGTCAAGAAGCTGCGGAAGCCAATGCCGCAGACCGAGCACAAGACGACGGCTACAGTTCAGCCAGCGATGACGACTCTCCACAACTGGATTACGATGCGGCCAAGGAGAACGAGCTCCAACTCATAGAGCAAGCCCGCATCGAGAGAGAAACCCAGGACATCGAGGCCAACTGGCGCCGACGCCTCCGGACATCAACTTCAACCCCATCTGATACGCCATCCCTCGTCATCGGTGCGCCCCTGGGTAAGAATCTCACGGCGATCGAAGCGGCATCACGTCTGGTCACTCAATGGGAAGCAATTTACAACCAAACCCTCTCGTCAGCCCCCGACGGCGCCCCCTCCGTCCTCGAATCCCTGACAGAAGCCCGCACCCAACTCGCCGCACTCCAGTCCAGCGTCACCGAGGACGTAGAAACGCCCCTCAACTCCCTCCAAGACCACAAACAGACCAGCATCGCATCTCGCATCCAGATCCTCGAAGCTGCCTTGGAAGAGTCTACCTTTCCCCCCGAACACGCAAACATATCCGCGGCAATCTCCCTCTACCGCACCTCCCGCATCCCCTACTCCTCCAACTGGGCTATCATCTACGCCGGCCACCTCGTCGACTTTGCCTCAACGTACACCTCCTTCACTGCCGACCGCGCCGAGCGCCTCGACCACTATGCGCGCATGCACGGTGAGGGCTGGCTCTGGTTCGAACCGCCCCTCGCCCGCGCCGCCGCACCCCTCTTCTCCGCCAGCCGCGGCACCTGGGTCCCCGAGACGGACACGACGTACGACATGGGCCACTACAGCGTGACCATGTCCTTCCGCCGCATGCGCAACCTCGTCTACCACCCAGGCCCTCCCTCCCGCAAGCGGCGCCGCGGCCAGTCTCAAGATGTGAGATGGCCCGTCGCCACGTCCCCTGTCGAGAAAGAGGAAAGCCCCCTCGACCCGGCCAACCCTCTCCCCAAGCGCAAGCCCAATCCGAACCCGCTCCCTCCATCGAACCTCCGAAGGTGCCGGCCCTCGCGACACCCGCACATGACGCCCGACCCCGCAGAGGCGACGCTGCACTTCCGCATGCTCCTCGACACCGGCGCCACGCTGCCGATGCTCCACAGCCGCGACGCCGCCGCCCTCGGCATCGAACGCAAGTCCTACGCCGCCGTCTCCTGCATCAGCGTCGAGACCGCCGGCCCGGACCTTCTCCGCACCTGGCTCTACGAGATGCAGGTCTCCGTCGCGGACACACTCACCTGCGAGCCGCTCGTCTCCGCCACATCCCCCGTCTGGCCTGCCGAAGAGAAAGCGCTCGGCGGCATCGTGCCCGTCATGGTGAAGCCCGCGAGCACGAGCAGCACCAAGTTCTCCGCGCCGCGGGGCCCGCAAGACGCATGCGCGGTGACCATGGACGGGGAGACGACGTGGCTGGAGAGCGCGACGGCCATCATCGATGAGGCCGAGGGCAGGGACTACGGCCGGCTGTCGGGCTTGTTGCCGGTGAAGTGCTGCTACGTGCAGGCGACGCCGAGCCTCAGGGCGCTGTGGCTGGGCGAGGACCGGCGCGACGTGCTGGGCGCGCACCGCATGCCGGGCCAGATGCGCTGGGCGCCGGGTTCGAACCGGATGTGCGATCCGGGACAGCCGAGGGGATTGTGGGAGGGTGTTTTTGGGCAGGAGGACGGCGGAAGGCCTGCGTTATTGAGGATGGCGCACGAGGGCGGCGAGGGGATGTTGCGCATGGTTGATGTGGAGGAGAAGGGGTGGAAGGGGAAGAGCGAGGTCATGGTCGTTGACGCGGACGGGGTTCGGACGAAGCATGTTATTGAGCCCAGGGGGTTGACGAGTCAGCGGGTGAAGCGGGTGAAGTTGTCTGACGAGGTGGAAGAGACATTGTAGATTTTGTGATTAACACTCGGTTATCACGGCCGCGTTTGGCAAAGTTTGATTTTTGATTATTCCCCCTGATTGTGTCGAAGTGCGAGAGTCTTGGGGGGATCGACGAGGCCGGAGAATAGCGAAATCGCCGACGGCGAAACGACACCAACCGCATGGCCCCACCCCCACTAAGCTCCGATCGGCCGGCCGCAGAAGTGGGTCCAATGGCCCGATCACTGGCCGTGCCCATCCCGTCTCATGCTGCGAATGCGAGGGAGGCATTGTTGGAGGCTTTAGATGAGTGAATATGTCATGTCGGTATAGGTGACAAGTTTGATGCCGTGCCGGCGACGCGGACCGCCAACCTGCTCGGTGAGACGGTGACTTGGACGGGAGTGGAAGTTGCCTCTTTGAGACGCCGACACGCCGTGTAAGCGGCACTTGAGATGGCCGATTTCACAAATCACGAGGCCTCTTGTTTCGAAAAAGATGCTATAAGATGCGCCGTTGCGACTTCCAGCAAGAGATTCTCTTTCAAGCCAAGTTGCTTTCCCCAACAGAGACAAATGCCAAGCAAGATCCTTTTCAAGCCCGCAATCAGACAAGCCCTTGCGATGGAGTCAATCAAAAAGGTACGCGGCATCTCTCGACCAACACAACATGTTACACATTTCTCATAACGTCATTTGCAGGTTACCATCATCGGCGCCGGCCCAGCAGGCCTAGCAACAGCCCTCCTCCTCCAACGAGACCACCAAATCAAATGCACAGTCTACGAAATCCGCCCGCAGCCAAGCACCCTAGGCGGCGCAATCGGCATCCCCTCCAACGGCCTCCGCTTGCTCGACCGCCTCGGCCTCTACGACCAGGTGGCAGCCAAGGGCGCCGAGACCGCCAGCACCTTCCTGCACTCCTCCAAAGGCGGCGTCCTCGGCAAGATGGACATGGTCTCGTGGAGCCAGGAGCGCACCGGCTTCAGCTACCTCCGCGTCCGCCGGACCGACATCATGGACGTCTTCCTCAAAGCCGCAGTCGCCGCAGGCATCCAGGTCCACTACAGCAAGTACTTGACCGGCATCCAGGAGCACGACCACCGCGTGACGGCCTCGTTCGACGACGGCACCTCGGACACAGCGGACTTCCTCATCGGCTGCGACGGCATCCACTCCAGCGTGCGCAAACTCTACGTCGACCCGGAGTGCACGCCCGAGTACACCGGCATCTCCAACGTCTTCTCCCTCCTCCCGACCGCCTCCCTCTCCCCGGCCGCGGCCTCCATGACGGACCTCAACGCCACGCTGACCGCAGACGGCCTCCTCGCCATCACGCCCACGACGCCCGCCCGCGACGTGCTGTACTGGTTTTTCTCGCGCGAGATGGCCCTCCCTTCCTTCGGCGACGTGCGCGACGGCTGGGAGACGCGCGGCAAGAAGGAGGTCGAGGGCTTCAAGGCGACGCTGCTCGGGCTGCTGGGCGACTCCGACGCCGAGTGGCCGCGGACGGTGCGCGACATCATCCGCAAGACGGAGGTGGTCAAGTTCTACCCGATCTACAAGGTGCCCACGGGCCGGCCGTGGTCGCGCGGGCGGTGCCTGATTATCGGGGACGCGGCGCACGCGATGCCGCCGCACGCGAGCCAGGGTGTGTCCATGGCGCTGGAGGACATTTTCCTGTTTTCCAACATGCTGGGCAGCTGTCCGGCTGCGTCGCTCGAGGACGGGCTGCGGCAGTTTGAGCAGAAGAGGAAGGTGCGGACGGAGCAGATGCTCAAGACGACGGAGAGCCGGGGCCAGATCCGCAAGAAGAAGGAGCCGTGGCGGTTGAGGCTGAACGAGATGGTTCTGTCGGGCGGTTTATGGGTGTATAACACGGCTGGGCTGAGCAAGTTGGGCATGGGGCAGAAAATGTTGACTTATGATGTTGGTGATGAGGTTTTTGAAGGGGAGGGTGTACAAGTTCCGATTCAGAGGGAGCTTCAAATTTGAGGTTTTCATAGTTGTACAGTCTTCTGCATATGCAATGCTTGAATCATAAGATAGGCCATAGTTAAATTGGTTGTTGTGTATTTTCAGTACTTCGGTACAATAATTGTAAGCTAGGTTGTTGTTAGACTCCATAGAGAAAGCGTCCCCTCTGCTACTAACCTTTCACCAAAACCAAGAGCCCGAACTACCAATTCTGTAGAATTCATTTTCCCTCAGTCTCTCAATATAGAAAGAAATCGTTGCCAGGAGGAAAGATGATGGCACTGAAAGACGTAGTGGCAGGCCTCAAGTGGATGCCAGCCCGGGCGCACGGTAGGAGCACCGGCAGCAACGCCGGGATTGTGTGGGGCGGCCACCGGAGGCGACGGGCTGAGAGGGGCAATGCACTGAAGGCGGCAGGGTCAAGGCCAAATTCTAAGCCGGCGGGACTAGCGTTGATTCGTTTGTTCTTTGTGTCATCTAATGCTCGAGTATGAAATTTGGTTAACAGATATCCGTTTTTGCCGCGTTAGCGTTCCAGCAGCCAAGTACAAGCATCAGCTCAGCGTGCCGCCCGCAAGGCCCCAATCGGCAGCCAGCGATCGGGGCGGAGAATTACAGTAAACTCCGGACAACCGCCCACCCGCAGCGGGCTGGTTACTAACCAACACTCAAGATCCATGAATCCAAACTCAACAATGCCTCTTATCCTGACGAGTCCCCATGAACGACCTACCCTCTTTTGTGTTTTAAAGTTTCAGTAACGTCTAGGGATCTTCAGTAGAGTCATCATTCGAGGAGGGGGCAAACGTGCCCTTCTTTATGGAAGACAGCGCTGAGGCGTAGGTTTGAAGACAGCTAGCTACTGCTGCTGCTCTCTCCGTGCTCGGACCTTTGTAAAGCCCTGTATATAAACGCCGGCCCGCCTTTCCTTTTTCATGATCGACAGGCAACTTTGTAAACGCCGCTCCTGCCCGCCGTTCGCAAGCAAAGCAAAGCAAAGCAACCCGATCCACTGCAAACCAAGATTGTAGCTCAGGAGGAAGAAGCTGATTTGATTCTCGAGAGAGCCAAAAACCCCTCTTCATTTGCGCATCACAATAGCAATGTCGTTGTCTTGGACAACGCCTACAAACGCCGTGCTGCCGCCGCCATCCATCTGCCGCCCTCACCGTCCCGAACCCCCTGCAAAATGGGGTGCGGCGTGTGCCCAGTGTGCGGTAGCCAAAGCAAAGTGCCTCCGCCCTGCTGGCTCGACGGATCCCAAGTGTGAGAGGTACGTCATGTTGTGCATCCTCTTTCGTTGCTTTTGTGTACATGGCTCAATATGTCGGTTCAAAGATGTCGAAGGCTGGGTAAGGATTGCACTGAGAAGATACGCGGGCCCCGCAAGAGGAGAGAGAATAAGCCATCGTGAGTACGCCCTCTTGTCTTCTTCATCTGCCTCTCTCATTATTTTTGTTGTCCTCTTGAGTTGCATCAAGATATATTCATGATCCGATGGCTCGGCTAACATCGGTCACAAGAAAAACGGCACAACTGGAAGAACGTCTGAACAGCCTCATCAGAGCATTGCAGGGGTCCAACGACATCACCGCAACGACCAACAGGCTGTCCATCGATGAAGTAAGTAATGTAAATCATTTTTAACAATCAACTACATCATCCAACTAACACCAAACAGACATCGCCAGCATCACAAGCCACCACCTCGGGGAGATCCCCAGAAACGTACGCAAGCACCCCATCCAGGAGCACCTACATCACCATCCCCCCGTCCTACAACTCCTTCGGGCCCTCAACATGCATCTGCCGTCCACCGCCCGGCCAGGTCCCGGGCCCGCTCGACTCGGATGCGACCCTCCTCTCCATCTACCAAGACTCCCTCACCCCAGCGTACCCCTTCGTCGTGATCCCCCACGGCACCTCTGCCGGCGACCTGGCCGCGACCCGGCCCTTCACCATGTCCTGCATCCGCATGGTCGCCTCCTTCCGCAGCCTGCGCTCCATGCAGGGCCAGATGTACCGCCTCAAGGCCCACGTCGCCGACGCCATGATCCTCCGCTCCGAGCGCTCGCTCGACCTCCTCGCCGGGCTCGTCATCATGCTCGGCTGGCACCACCACCACTGCTTCGTCCACGCCCAGATGCAGAACCTCGTCGCCCTCGCCGTCACGCAGGCCGCTGAGCTGGGGCTCATGCGCAGTCCGGGGTACCAGGAGCGCACGAAGCTGCTGGTCGAGAACCTCGGGGAGGTGAGGGAGAGGACGAGCGAGCAGAAGAGGTTGCTGCTTGCGGTGTGGTACTTGAGCTCCACGTAAGTCGACGGCCCCCGCGTCTACTGTTCGTTTTCTCATGTGTTGCTGACCTGTCTGCAGGGTGTCCGTCGGAATGGGGCAGATTGAGGCTATGAAGTTCACACCATACATGCGGCGATGTCTTCGCGAGCTCGAGATGACACAGGAATACGACTCGGATACGTATCTAGCCTACCTCATCAGGATACAGATCCTCTCCAGCAAGATAATAAGCCTATCCCAACGCAACGATGAAGACGAAGAGGAACCGGAAATAGTACCCAGAGCCCCCTTTGCAGCATACGCCTCCGCCTTTGACGCAGAGCTCAACAACCTCATCAAAAGCATGCCGCTAAGGTTACAAGAAGATAGTACGTTCCATCCTGCAGCCCCTTTAAGTGTCCCTTTCTCAACTCCTCTAACGAGACAAACAGAACTCATGCGTCTAACCATAAACACCGTCCGCCTGCGCATCCACGAGCCCCCGAAACTCGACGCCGCCCTCCTCTCGTCCCTCTCCAAATCCTCCATCGCCGCCGGCACGCCCTCCCCGCTCGACTCCTTCTACCAATCCAACGCCGCCCTCCGCGCCTGGTTCGACGAGTGGCTCAGCCAGCCCATCCCCTCCTACCCCTACATCACCCTCCCCGTCTCCCTCAACGTCATCCACGTCATTACCATCCTCGGCCGCTGGGCCAAGCTCCTCCTCATCGGCGACCTGCGCCGTCCGCGCGCCACTGCGTCCGCCCCGGCCCCGGACCCGCCCCAGGACCCGTCGGGCAACTACAACAACCCCTCGCCGCTTGACTCCGCCACCACGCCGGGCACCACGAGCTCGACGCTGACGGGCACCTCCTCGCTGTCCTCGGCGGCCTCTACGGAGAGCCAGCTGGCGCAGGCCATTGCCACGCTCAAAATCCAGCTCGCCACGCAGCCAGCGCTCAGCCTCGACGTGCCCGGCATCCTCGGCCAGATGGGCAGTGCCATGGAGCAGGCGAGCGCGTCGCTCGCGGTGCACAGCGAGGATCCGCCGGGGGTAGGGCACAACATCTGGTCCCTCACCGCCACGAAGCTCCGCATCGCGCAGTTGAAGATTGAGCAGTGGGCAGCGATGGTGGCCGAGGAGGAGGAAGAGGAGGACGAGTCAGGTGGAGAAGAGGAGGAAGAAGAGGGGGTATATGAAGGTGTTGCGGCGGAAGTGGGCCAGGATGATATGCAAGGCGTCATTGACGGTGCGGCTGTTGAGAAGACTGCTGTGCCGTTTGTGGGGTCTGAGAGGGACCTGGGTATCTTTGAAGACAGCTGGGGCGGCGGGAATCCCATGGCGGGCGCTTTTGACAATCTGGGCCCCTTTTCTTGGATGGATGGCGTGGGGGACTGGGGGGCCGCCATGATGGGCTCGGCGCATCAGAACGGGTAGAGGTGGTTGTTTCAATGTTGCCATGCTGTAAGATTATGTGATGTTTGATGTACACCATAGGAGTTGTCCTTAACGGACGGGCATGCTAGGTTTTGCATTGTTCATGATTGGCTTTTCCATACATAGCTAGATTTCTCTCGCTCTATAACCCAGATGTAGCCGTATCCGCATAACCGTTTGACCAGGAACCCGCTGTTACGAGAGAAGAATGGAATGCTTCGTAAGAGAGCAAATACGCTTAATTTCATCAGCATTGAAGTTCCAAGTCCCGTCGTCATAATGGCTCCCATGCGCCAAGAGACCACGAATCGTTCGCCTGGAGAGCGTTGTCTGCAATAATTCAGACGGCCGTGGTCTCCTCATCTAGAGTTAGCAAGGAGAGAGGTGATAACTCATTGCTTACTTGTCGAAGTCGGCAAACGAGTTTACTGTTGCGATGTAAAATTGTCCGATTACCCGTTTCCGTATGTCTACCTCAAACCCGAAGCGTAATTTTGCAAGATCGTTCGTTTGGGGACATGAAGTTGAACGTTTGCGCGATAGAACATACCAGTGAAAGCATTTCATCATAGTCTGCGTACCACTATCACCACCTAAATATGTACTTCAAAGAAGCTGCCTCTATCTACTGATGAAGAGGCCAAATTATTTGTGTCCACAGTTTGTCGTGTAACAGAGGAAGCTCATCTCTAGGTCTATTGCCTACCTAACCCCTATCAGTTTCTTTCATGCGGCCCATTTCTCATCATCATTCCACTTCACCGCCTTAACAATGGCATAATGATCTGAGGCAGGATAAACAGCAGACAGTGAACAAAGGGAGCGAATGTGGTATGGTCAACAGCTCCCTTGCTGTCCCCATCTCAGTCTGGTGAGCTTGGCTCCTGAGAATTGCGCTGAGAAACGACAGCGACATCTGTTGAAGCAGGCTTATTTCAACCAGTGCATTTGTGCGCGCAGATAGGACTCTACATCAAAAAAAGCTTCCTTTGTTTTAAATACAGTCGCAGCAAGGTATTATGTCTATGTGTGACGATGTTTGAAAGGGTTCTACATTTGCAGTGCCTCTACCTCAATGGCATAAATACAAGGTCATGTACCAGGAACCATCCGCATTTCAGACAATAAGGCTCTTAGGACCAGCTTAGATTGATGCGTCACAGAACTAAAACTAGAAAAAGTTCACTGGAAGGTTTCTATGCTGCTCACTTTTGTGCAATTCCTCAACAACACCATCTCATCGCCTGCATTATTTCAGCGCGAATAAGATGAGGACGACAAGCGCTCCAGCCAGTGCTTAGATAT